ATATAGAAGGCTCTTAGCTTACTTTTATATTATAAACTCTTTTAAAGAAACAACTAGGTTAATTATAAAGTCTTTCTAAGCTTTATTTTTATCTCTAATAATCTTTCTAAATAATATAAGTAAATAAAAACCTTACTATACTATTATTTAGTAAATATATACTAAGGCTAGATTTATATACTAGTATTTATTCTACTTTAGGCTATAAGTGTTAAAGTTACTTATAAGTAATACTCTTTGGTATAGTCTCTCTTTTTCTATTATCTTGGTTATAGGTAAGAGCTTACTTGGTAAATAGTAAATTAAATAAATAGCTATTATTAGTTAACTTACTCTAAACTAAAGCTTTAACTAGTTTCTATTAGTTTTATAGAACTATAAGACTATAAAGTATTATTTATATACTAGAATAATTACTCTTTTTAATTCTTTTACTAAATAGTACTATAAACCTAAGCTATATTAAAGTAAATTAATTATATTATTTTATAATAGCTTTTAAATAAAAAGAATATTAGCTTTACTGAAAAGTGCTTTAGTATAAGCTTTAGAATACTTATAAATATTCTGGGATATTAGTTATAAGATTATTAAATAGCTTTAATTATTTCTATATTAGCTTTTTATATATTTATATTTAGTATATATTTATTTAAAAAAAAGAATAAAAACCCTTGAACGATTTTACTTATTCTTAAAAGTAGCTTTTTATAATAGCTTTAGTTTACTTAGAGGAAGAATTAGGCCTAGATAAGCCTTAATTTACCTCTATTTTTTAACTTAGTATACTTACTAATAGGTTAGGGTCTGGACTCTTATTATAAGAAGTTTATATATATAATAGCTATTTTATAATAAATATTAAGAATAAAGGTTATTATTTTATTCTTATAATAAGCCTTAGCCTACTTAGTCTAGTTTTATATAATAGAGTAATCTGTTTTTAAGAAGGTAAAGTATTCTTTTTTATAGTTAGTATGCTTTATAAGAACTTCCTCTTTTTTTTAAAAAGTATTTATTTTTAGTTTAGTAAGTATTATTAGTATACTAGGTATGTTTTACGCTTTTTTTATAGTATTTAAAGTATCTCACAATATTTATTTTAAATAACGTGGTTTATCAGCGAGTCGATCATATCAGCGAGTCGATCACTTTTTCTTGGCACAGAACTTTACACCTAAATAAATCAACCACAACATATTAAATTAATTATCGCTCTCTATATCTGACGAACTAGATATATCTATAACTTCTTGACAAGTTCGCGCGTTATGACCAGCTTTTCCACAAGTTCTACAGCGCCGCCTAGAAGGTTGCCCCTCCTTATAACCAACCCCCGCCTCACGCATGTCGCGTCGTACTTGCTCATCTACATCCTCCTGAGCTAACATATCCTGTACATCCTCTACTATAAGTGCCCCTCCTTGGCGGACACGAGTCTTTTTAGCCCTACGGCGTTTACTTAGGGCTTCATTTGCAGCGCGAAGGGTACGGACCTCAGCAGACAAAAGGGTCATCTCATGTGCCATTCGCTCTGTACCCTTTGCTAACGCAGCAACTGTTTGAAAAAGTGGAGTTGGCGAGCTTCCTTGATGACAGGCTATACGATTTCGTACAAGAGTTGATTGTGAAAGGGCTTCAGTTGGGTTGGAAGGGGTCTGGGACACCCAGGGGAGGGAGTTGGCACTACACGTCCGAGGGGGAGTTGGAGTCCGTAACCTTACGTCAAGCTTTGAAAGCACTGCTTGCGGGTTAAATGGTACTAGGCCAGCTCCGCGGAATCCAGACTGACAGTTTAGGACTGTCATTGTTTCCTTGTATGCTGCTGTAAAGGCTAGAAAGAACTCAACCTTTGTAATATGGTTGATATGGGCCTTGATAAACGTCTCAATCTGCCGACCATACGCTCGTTTTAACACACTATAGCACCCAACATCAAGTGGCTGGGTTAGATGGGATGAATGAGGAGGTAGTCCAAGAGTAATAATGTTGTGTTTCGTACAGTAGTCTTGGAACTCAGCCGATTCATGACTCTCGTGCCCATCCAAAACTAGTATTCGATACAGACCCTTTGCACGAGCTGTAGTGTGTTTATCAAAGTGCTTTAACCATTCCAGGCCTGTTTCATTATTTGTCCAACCATTGCTTGTCGGTTTCATAACCCAGTTAGGTGGGAGGCCGCCGTCGGTATACCAGTTGGAGAGATGGTTCTTGCCCTGAACTACCAAGAATGGAGGAATACTCCAGCCCTCCCCATTAATACAGGCAATTGCTGTAGCCCATTCCCGATTGCCTGGCTGAACTGCCTTGCCTCTACCACGTCGGTCTGCACGAGTAACAACCATTCTAGGACAAATAACACCCATCATAAAGCCTGTCTCGTCGAAGTTGTAGAAGTCGGAGTCTGTAACCCCATATTTCGCCCTCATATTCTCTACTAGCCGGAACCATGCGCCTAGCACGTCAGGATCTTCGCATAAGGCCCTCTGGAAGTCGTAAACGCGATTAAAACGCGTCTTAAGGTCTGGTTGTCGTTGTACGAATCGATGGGCCCAGAGCTTGCCGACGCGTCTTCCCCCCCGCGATTCAAGGATAAAATTAGCCATATCTTCTACACCAGCGAGCCGGGGCGCAAATCCTCTGGAATCCATATCCAGTATATACCGAATAATCACTTCCTCTTCTAACTCAGTCAACTTATGACAATTGGCTTGAGAATCTGGGCGGTAGGTTCGGCCAGCCATTCTGTCGGAAAGAGTCGTATATGGTACATTGTAGATCTTTGCCGCAGAGCGTTTGCTTAGTTTTTTGGATGACCGAATAGCCTCGATAGCTAGAGTAATTCGCGCTTCTTGAGTTTGAATTTCCATGGTAAATAGTTGAAGAAAACGTGTGTTGAAGTTTGAGGAGGTAGTGCCAAGGAAAAGTGATCGACTCGGTGATATGATCGACTCGCTGATAAACCACGTTAGCTCTAAATATATAATAACTTATATACTTAACTTTTATATAAACTCCTATAAGTTATATTAAAGCTTTTATTTAATATTAAAATAAAGATTTTATAATATAAGTTTATATTTATTCTTAGTTTTATAGCTTTAAACCCTTTATAATATAAAACTTATTATATATAGTAGTAATAATATAGAATCGAATAGCGTATAATAAAAATATATTGTCACGAATCACGTGTAGCAATGCATGTGACAAAGGAAGACCAGGCGGCGTCCTGACAGGTTAAGCACATCCATGGACTTATAGCAAAAAGGGATCAATTAGACTAGCTAAGCGATCCAGGGATTTCTTCTGGTTACAAAAATCACGTGATCTAGTCGCCTGAGTCGCCTGTCGACTGAAGCGATCAGGGCGAGCGACTAGAGCGATCAATCAGAGAACGAAGGTTCTATATAAGACTGGCACGTCTGCCATTAGATAGGAGCTTCGTGCTCAACTTAGTTATCAATCTTATCATATTAGTTTGACATCTTTGATACAAGTAACGAGTTCACTTCCAAGTGAACAACCCGATAGTCTTCTTCTTATCATAGCATACCAACCAGCGAACACCCAGCCAAGTTTAGTTAGCCAGTTTGAGTATTCGTTACATTTAATAGCTGAGCTCTAGTTACTTCTTAGAAACCTTATTGTTAGCTACTAAGCGAGTAGCTAAGCCTTATACTTTATATTAGTAAGGAAATACTAAAGTGTATTATAAGAAAAACTTATAATTTAGCTAGATCTAAATAAGTAGAAGTATTATATACTCTTAGAATAAGCTTTATACCTAGTAATATAAAATAAATAATAATATAAAGCTTCGCGCGTTACTAGTATTAGTAGTATAGTAGATTTAGATATTAGAATAGTAGTAGTAATAGTAATAGTAATAATAAAGTTAAAAGTAAAGGGTAATAGTAAAAGATTATTATAATAGTTAGATTCTATAGCTTTAATTTACTAGAAAGTATACATATATTATAAAAATAGTAAATATTTACTACTAGGAATACTTTATTTCTTAAGCAATACTAATAGAACTACCCCCCTTTTTAACTATAAGGGGAGTTCTATTAATTCTCAATTATATAAGAGGTATTTAAGAACTTTTTAATTAACTAGGGGGTGTGACGGTTCTAACCGTCACCACCATTCGGATCACGTGGTCTCGCTTAGCGACCCACACCAAGTATTTAGATCGAAGCTCTCTCGAGCTCTCCTCTTCTCCTCAGCTTAGAATCTTTGTTTAATTGACAGTTCTACGATTCCACAACCTACACCGTGGGCCTTGCGTACGTGTCGTCACAGGGGGTAGTTTAGTTAATTACTAATAGAATAATAGATTTTCTTTTAATTTTCCTTTTATACCTGGGTGCTACGTTCGTACTAGTGTAACGAATACTCAAACTGGCTAACTAAACTTGGCTGGGTGTTCGCTGGTTGGTATGCTATGATAAGAAGAAGACTATCGGGTTGTTCACTTGGAAGTGAACTCGTTACTTGTATCAAAGATGTCAAACTAATATGATAAGATTGATAACTAAGTTGAGCACGAAGCTCCTATCTAATGGCAGAAGTGCCAGTCTTATATAGAACCTTCGTTCTACTGGATCCATCGGGGTCCATCACGTGACAACAACCAAATGAAATCCATGGATCGCTTAGCTGGCCTAAGCAATCCCTATTTGCTATAAGAAACCTGGATGTGCCTGTCTAGGGTTGCGCCTCTTTATAATGAAAAGTATCACGTGAACATGTGATTCGTGACAACTAGCCGTGATTTATCCTACTTAGTAAAGCTTTAATTATTTCGTAGAGGAGGTTATTTTTCGGTCACGTGATTAGACCTATACACTTATCCTTTCCAGCTAACTAGGTGCTGTATATTATTTTAATAGTATTATAATAATAAAACGATAGGCCTATAATTTCATGTTACGGCGTGAGATTAAAAATTAACATGTAATACTAATTCTGATTATACTAACAATACATCCATTCTAAAAGAAAACATTTCTTATAATAGCGATTCCATCCCAATTAAAGTAAAGATACAAAAGAAACTTTTCGTTATATAGTACAAAAGTCAATCAGCACTTCACTTCTTCTTCTTTCCGGTTAACGAATCAGTCACCATCCCTAATCCCAACCCGTTCAAAATACCCTTCAGTCCAAGACCACCGAGAAGGTTGTCCAAAAGACCACCAAGGCCCAATCCGCTGAGAAGTCTCCCAACCAAACCGAGAACGCCGCTGAGTAACAACCCGACAGCTGCAAGAATTTGACCCAGAGGCTCGGCTAACAATCCCCATAAGGGGTTCAACTCTTTCTTTGCATGAGGCATACCTGCGATCTTCTTCTTGGCTTGCTCGATCGTGGTATGAACGTTCTCGGTCAACTAAGAAGTAGGTTAGCGTGCTTCAAGTATGTATAAATGAGGTTCTACATACTTCTTTGAGAACGTCGGCCAGATGGTACTCCTCCGGGGTAGCTTCACGAGAAGCAGTCTTAGCCTTCGCATTGGCAGCAATCCTTCCATCAGGATCAAGCCCACGAATAACACCATTAGCCTCTTGGAGAATTTGGCCACCTTCTTCGATGAGTGGCTTGACGGTATCGACCAGCTTTTGCTCGTCAAGATCTTCCTTTGACTGGCGTTCGGCTGCGTCGATGACCTAGAAGTTGGTTAGCTTATTCTAGAACTATAAAAGGTGGAACATACGTCTGTGATCATTCTCAAGATCGGCTTGATCTTGTCAATGGACTGTTGGATACAACCAGCCATTTGTTGGGCAAGCTTCCTGTCTTGTTCGAGTTGTTTTTTCTTCTCAACTTCTTCAGGGTCCTCAACTTCTTCCTCTACCTCTGGTTCTGGTTCTGGTTCTGGCTCAGGCTCTGGGATATCTTCAAGCAAACTGACATGTCCCAGCGTCTGTCCCTTGGAGTTTACGATGTCACCATCCTATAACGGATCAGTATGGCCATAATACTAAGTGTGACTCAGTGCAGCTTACCTGGTCAATTTCTTTTCCCACGCAGAGCCCAATCTCTCCCGAAACTAGTTTTCCAATGACATCCCCGTCGTCGTCCAGAACGTTCCCATCTCGATTAATCTTGCGGCCCTCAACCGGGTTTTTCTTTTTCTCAGGCTCAGCCGGTGGATCCCACCTTTCCGCTTTCCCTAGTGTATTACCATTCTTATCCACAACGTCACCGTCCTCGTCAACCAGTTTCCCGTATAATCTAGCGGCGTCGGCGCCTTCGACAAGCTTCCCGATGATTGTACCCTTGGAGTCTTGAACCTTGCCATCTTTCGTAACTGTAGGGGTGTCGAAGCCAGCAAATGGGCCCTCTTTGGCACCTTCTCTCTCACTTTCTGGCACGAGTTCTAATAACCGTTAGAAACTAAGCGACTATTATGCCGCCATCTCTTTACATACCAGCACGACCGACTATGGTTCCTCCTTCTGACCAGACGTTTCCGTCTTTATCACACATTCTTCCGACTAAGGCCTTCGGATCTGTTCCAGAATGGTAAATTAGTATTGAATAGAGAAAAGGACGGATTTAGTAAATCAACTATACGAACCTCCTTCGACCAATCTTCCATAGATCAATCCGTGGGAATCCACAACGAAACCGGCTTTATTGACCTTTTTACCGGCTAGCGGCGACAGATCAATCTTTTCTGGCTCGGCCTCTTCGGGTTCGTCGTAACGTTCTGCTCTCCCGATGCAATTTCCAACTTTATCTAGGATCTATATTCCATTCAAATTAGTGACTGTCAACAAGGAACTCGGGCTCTATGTCTTTCACCTCGCCATCTGGATCAACTCTCTTTCCCGCTAGTTTCCTTGGATCTAGCGTCATAAATTAATATTGCATAGAAATCGGACGGTTTTAGTGAACCTACCTCCTTCAATCAGTTTGCCAACAATTTTCTCTTCGAAAATTACGTCGCCTTTGTTGTTAATAGTGGCATCGGGGAAGTCTTCGAATGGCCCGGATGTGCCATCCTCGTCTCTCTCGTCTGCTGGAATCAATTCTGCCTGGCCGATAGGCTTTGCAGAGTCTGAATATATGATCCCCTCGGAATTGCATTTACGTCCAATAAGCTTTGAGAGAACGCCAGAAATAACACGACCGAAGAGTTTTCCTGTATCTGGATCCACGACATTGCCCATTTCTAGCGCGGTAAATATCAGTATAGTCAGGCGGGTGTGTTGTGTAAAAACTCACTGTTGACCTTCTTTCCCTCCAATATGGATAGATCTTCAGGTTCTTCCTCTGGAATAACTTCCTCTTCTTCCTGATAACGCTCACAGCTTGCCAATCGATTCCCATTCTTGTCAATGACGTCACCGTCTTGGTCTATCTTTTTACCTTCGAGGGATTTGATGTCCAAGCCATCTTCGGGCTTGACCTTGCCAACGACACGGCCTTCGAATATCACCTCTCCTTTGTCATTGAGAACTGCATCTGGAAAGTCTTCGAAGGGTGAAGACACCTCGGCGGTACCTCGCTCCTTTTCTGGAAGCAATTCTGCTCTCAGTTAGCTAAGCGAGGGTGAACCCAAGAGACTGCAACGAACCTGCTCTACCAATGGTGTTTCCGGAGTCGTCCCAAATTAGACCTTTAGCATCAACCTTCTTCCCAAAGAGCCTTTTTGGATCTGGCGGCGGGTACATTAGCATTAGATAGAAAAGGACGGGTTGAGGGAAAGTCAATTATCCTAAAAGCTATGCACAACCAAAATATTTAGACGAGCGATTTAGAACAAAACAAATCAACTTACCTCCTTCGACAAGTATTCCGTAAGGCTCTCCCTTCTCATTAACGACTCGCCCCATCTTGTTTACCGTCATTCCCTTCAAGATACTGAGGTCTTCTAGCTTTGCTTCTTCGGCTTCGAGGACCTCGGGAATCAATTCGGCCTTAGCAATGATACTTCCAGCTTCTGCGGACATCTATTAGCATCTATATATAAAAAGGAGTCTAAATAGTATAACCACTTACCATTCTTCAAATTTCCTTCGATATCAATTTCTTTGATCGATTTAGAGCCGACAGACACACCAGACGGCAGTTTTGCCACCAACTGGCCAGCAGCGTTCTTCACCTCAGGCCCGTCCACTTCGAATGGCCCAATCAACTCAGGCGCACCTGCCTCAGATGCCAATTTGGAAATCAAATCAGCTTTTCCTAGAATTGAACCATCTTTTCCAACCAAATTACCCTCCGAATCAATATCCTTGATCGAGGTACCCACTAGATCCTGTGGCGTACCATCAATGAGTTTCCCAATTACGATCCCAGAGGAATTAGTGATTTCTCCATTATCCTGGACCCCGTAGGGACCGGTAAGTGTAGGTTTTTCCACATCCTCTGCTTGTTTGCTGGCGTCAATATCCGGAACAGTTGGTTTTTGGGAGGCAGCGTCATCGAGTGGCTTTTGGCTACCCTCAACATCTGGCTTCTCAACCTCCGGCTCATCTTGCTTTTCGGTGGTGGCATCGTTGATTCCAGTATCAGCTACCTCAGGTCTGTCGGCGGCGGAGACATCTGGCTTCTCGACGTCATCAATTGGCTTTTGAGAACCCTCAATGTTAGACTTTTCTCGAAGGTCAACATCAGGCTTTTGAGAACCCTCTATCTCAGATTCCTCTGGTGCATCAATATCTGGCTTTTGCGAGCCGTCGATGTCCGATTTTTCTGGGGCCTCGACGTCAGGCTTTTGTGAGCCCTCTTCGAAGGTTTCATCCGCGGCGCTCTCCAAATCTCCTTTTTGGGACTTGCCTAGGTCTTCAGTCGCTTCTGGCTTTTCTAAATCACCGGCAGCAGACTTTGCCCCGGCGGCTTCTGAGCCTCCTTTTTTCAGAGACTCCAGGTCTAGGTCCGCATGCCCGATGGTATTACCCTCGGTATCAAGTACATCCCCTGGAAAAAGGTTGTCAGTTACCATATTACGCAGTAAGATACCTTTTTATGACTCTTGGCACAATATATAGAAGGAGTGTATTAAAAGTTTGGCATAAGCAACTCAATTGTCCCAGTAAACTTATGTCAATGGAGAATCAGGAGTGTCAATTGTCCCAAATGACTCGCAAAACCAATTCAATCTTGCGAGGCTTTTGGGATAGAACAGTAGTAGAACAATTTATGGGAGTGTCCAGATTAACGACTTGGTTTCTTAATTTAACAGGATTACTCACCCTCTTCGTCCACGTAACTGCCCTCTAACAGAGAAGCATTCTCGCCACTGACTTTGCCTAAACCCGTAAGAGATTAGCGTTCATTGAGATTACAAGAAAACCATAAGCACAAGTACGTACCAATCACAGATCCAGATGAATCTATAACCTGACCTTGATTATTAATACTGCCTGCGGGCATTACCTCGCTAGACGATTCCTCGTCTAGATCTTTGTTTTCTTCCTCGTCATTACTCGTATTCAAACCGTCGACACCGGAATCGGTATGTTCCTCCAATTCAGGCTGATCCGGAGCATCAGTGGCCTTCGCTTCTGATACTTGGGATTTGGCATCTGAGGGTTTTGACTTGACACTTTTCTTCGCAGAATCCACACCCGACTTCTTTCTCACCATCTGAGGTGGTGTCTGGGGGGCTGCTGTGTCGGCCATGATGGCTTTGCTTATGGACAGTAGGTTTGCGTGTGATGTTTTTAAGTTTCTGTATAAGTGTTCAATACTTGGACGTTGTGGTGTTCCAAGTGGCATCAAACAATATTGAAAAGTGGTATGGAGATCAATTACCTGTGGCGGATTTCATGTTTATATGATAGGCATGAGCTTGACTGGAGCTTCTCACTTGACCGAGGAGAAAACAACTACGTCACAAGCAGGAATAACCACTCGGTCGCCTACAGAATGTCTACCATGTTCTATGGGCCTTCTTACATCACAGCCTTTCAATTTGTCCATGACCAAAAGGCCTGGGTGTACCACGTTCTCCCCGCGTTGGTCCGGAAGCGGCATATTGGGGGAGATCATAGCTGCATTACGTGTGGTGCAGGGTATATATCAGGCTTTTGGAGATTTCTCGAAGCAAAAGTCTTATTTGCTTTTTACAACTCCGGAGGAGGATGATGAGTGCTGCAGCCACTCGATGCTGGGTCATCAGCCACACTTTGGAACCCTACGAGCTCTCATGCAGCCAAGTCCTCGAGGTCCCGCTGAACAAGGGATCGATGATGAAACTGCATGGGATACGGGCGACATGGGTAATCTTTCCCACTTTTTCAGCGAGCGTCATCAGTCGTTCAGGTTCGTGGGTTTGCTGTGCCGTTTAACAGAATCCCATCAAAACACGGACGCTACTGCATATGCGCATTCCAACGAGTCACACTCGTTTCTTGAGTCCCCGCTGACGTTGTATACGCGCCGTACGCCTTCTCGAATCCTGGTAAAGCGGGTTATTTCCTTGATCTACGAATTGAACGAGGTTTTTCTTACGTTCCGTGTTACGATGGAAGCATCAAGATCATTCGAAATGTATGGATACGATGAAAGAAGCGAGGCTCTGAATAGTGCTCGATTCAGTCTAGTTTTTTAGGTTGTGGCTGCAAGCTAGTACTGGTAATAGACCTGTTATACCGGCCACGCCTTGAGAACTTATTGTGCTAAAATTCCTCGAAGAATCAATTTAACTGCCCCGAATCATCTAGGTTAATCAAGATATACGATTTTAATCATCTTAAATCGCTTGTATAACTATTTTCTTTGTGCGAGGCTTCTGATATAACAGCTTCTAACTTAGGTGTATTCAGAGTAACAACTGCATCTCTTATGGCAGGCTGGATGTCGATTCCCGGTAATCGAAAACCCCCCTGAAGTGTCGATGGCTTCGCTTATTTTGGTTTTTTGGGTCCGGGAGTACAATAATTGTCGCTTGATGGTGTTACCAGATAAGTGCTAGAGCCTTTAGTTTGACAGCCCCATGAATATCAATTCTCGAGAAGGATTTAATGAAAAATAATGTTCTCGTCTGCCCGCATCTGCACGTATGAACTCTTGTGCCCTTATCGACGACTCGTCATAGGCTGCCGACCTTCGATCTGCAATATCCCAGTAAGCATCCTTGAGGCACCTTCCAACTTTCGAGTCTTACGCCACACAAACCCTCCTCTCCATTTGTGCAACTGTTCTCAGCTCCATCCCCCGGAGCTGCCTGAGCTGCCTGAGCTGCCTCAGATACGGTGTCATAGCTCCTGCAACCCCCGCCCAGCCTCCCAATCAACTCCGTCATCGTTAGTAACCCTTTCGCGTCTTTCAGCCTGGCTCGGATGATTTTGTTATGAAAGTAAATTGGAATCGGAGACTACAATTCTGGATTTGTTTCGTAATTCTTTGGTCTTACGCACGCCTCTTACTTCTCTTCTATTATCCCGAAGAGTGGTATAACTACTTTAACATCCCAAAGATCATGTCCTCCTCCCAAACCCCATCCAAGAATCCAACAAAATCCAACAGAAAATCTAAAAACCCTTCCAAATCTACACCATCTGCTTCTGCTCAAAGGCCTCCTTCGTCACTTGCAGAGAAACCACAAAGTCAAAGAAAAATGCCTTCTGCTGCTCCACCCCAGGGAACTCCCAACCCACCTCCGGGAAAAAGACTCAAGAAAAAACCAGCCGTTCCGCAACAAGAACAGGAACAGCTTCAACAATCGCCAGAGACTCCAAAGCGAAAGAAGAAGATCTCTAGATCACAACCTGATCAGCAACAACAAGAACAACCTAGTGCAACTCCCAAACAACAAGAGACTCCGCAGCCACAGCAGGATGCTACACCATCCGAGAAACCCAGAATTAGGAAGAAGAAGAAGCCCCAATCGCCTGTTGAGGGCGAGGGATCAACACCACAAAAAAAACCTGAAGCTCCTTCGGCTCCATCAACCCCTCAGAAGAAACCCGAGGTTCCTTCGACCCCAAAGCGGAAACCTGAAGTTCCCAAAGAAGCTTCAAATTTGTCAAAACCAGATGTTCCTCAACAAAAGGATGCTGGAAAAGCGCTTGACAGCGGGAAGGATAGGGCTCCCAAGCCCGAGGATGTTGGAAAACGAGCCGAGAATGCCGCACCGCCTAGCTTGAAAAAGAAGAAGAAGGTTCCAAAGCCTGAGGATGTGCAGAAGGGCGTTGAAGGTATGAAAGAGAATGCGCCAAAGCCCGACGATGCTGGAAAGCAGGTCGAAGGGTTGAAGAAGAAAGCCCCAAAGACTGAGGATGTACAGCAGAAAGTTGGAGAGGCGAAGGAGAAAGCGCCAAAACCGGAAGACATCCAGGAGAAGGCTGAGGATATGAAGGAGAGCGCACCAGAGCCTGAAGAAGCACAAAAAGAGGTCGAGGATGTGAAGGAGAGAGCACCAAAGCCTGAAGAAGCACAGAAAGAGGTCGAAGACGTAAAGGACAACGCGCCAAAGCCCGAAGATACACAAGAGAAGATTGACGAGGCGAAAGATCGAGCACCTAAACCTGAAGATGCAGAAAAAAAGCTCGATAGTGCCAAAAAAGCCGTTTCATCGCTTCCAAATGGTGGTGGTTCAAGCGATCCGCCAAAAATGATTAAGAAAAAGAAGAAGCCGGCTCCAATTCCTGAACCAGAGCCTCTCAAGGAGTCTGAGCCTGAGCCTGAACCATCTGAGGAGGAGGAGCAAGAACCAAGCGAGGAGGAACATGTTGAGGATTCTGGTCATGAATCGCAACACTCTGGCGAGGAAGAAGACGAAGACTCGAACTCCGAGGAGCAGGATGATCATCTCCAAGAACAAGAGGAAAGTGTTCATGACCAGGCCAAAGAGGCTCCCAGTATTGATTCTGGCGTTGAGGGCGTCTCATCTGATGAGGAAGAGGAGACATCATCTGCACAACAGAGCCTCGAGCCTGAGCATGAAAATGAGCATGATATGGAAGACAGTCAAGATTATGATGAAGGCTCAGAAGAACAGGATGAGGCCAGCAGTGAAGAGCAAGAACAAGATATCAGTTTCGACGAGGAGGAATCTGACGACAACAGTCTTCCTGACGGTGCACCACTCGACAAAGCCCAGGATGTCACAAACAAAGTCGAGGATGCTCCCAAGGAGGCACAAGATACCTTGAAGGATGCACCAGATAAAGCTCAAAAGACTGCTGGTGGCGTAAAAGATACCCTCAAAGACGCTTCAAGTCAGGCTCAAGATACTACTGGCGATTCGCTGAACAAAACCCAAGACACCGCCGATGATGCGCCAAAGATAATCAAGAAGAAGACCCCCAAGTCGGAAGACGCTACGAACAAAGTCGATGAAGCTTCCAAGCCTGTCAAAGATACTGCTAACTCAACTGGTTCTCTCGATACTGCAAAGAACACAGCTAGTGGAATTACAGACGATTCGCCTGTAGATAAGACAAAAGACACAGCCAGTGGATTGACAGGAGGTTTACCCGGTAGTGCAGCCCTTGGTGGTGATGAACAAGCAGAAGCACAACAAAAGCCAGCACCACCCAAAATGATCAAGAAAAAGAAGAAACAGCCACAGAATCCTGCTGAGGGTGGACTTGGTAGTGTGACTGACAAAGTCAAGGAGGACCCAGCAACAACAGCTGAAGGTGCTGTAGACGGAGTCAAAGAGAAAGGAGATGGTCTTGCGGATCAAGCCAAGGACGCCACTCCAAAAGACTTTCCAAGCGATGCTGCTGGTGACGCCGCTAAACCAGTTGAGGATTTTAAATCTGATGTTGGCGAGAAGGCTGGTGAAGTGAAGGATTCCGCTACGAAATCAACCGAAGGGTTGAAAGATACAGCCAATGAAAAAGCGGGAGATTTGAAGGATTCTGCTACAGAGAGAGCAGGTGGTACTACGAAAGCAGCCGAGGGTCAGAAAGACCAAGTCGGGGACACGACCGAGAAATCCAAACCTGATCTCGGTGATTCACCAAAGCTCACGAACGGCACTTCTCACGCTACGGACAAAGCTTCTGATCTCAAGAAAAGTGTGCCTTCGGCTGTCGTGGATAAGGTTCCAGATTCGTCAGAAATCACAAGTAAAACCAAGGAAAATGCGTTACTACAAGGTCTTGATATTGCTCAGCAAGATGGAAGAATGGTCATCAAGACCCCGAATAAGATGGAAGGATCGGAAGGTGGAAAGGGAATTGAGATTACTGTGAATAGCACCAAGGAAGGCATGACACTTACGATTAAGATCCCGGGAGTATTCCAGCAATCGTAGGCTTTGATGGAATGAGGTTCTATTTTGTTTGATTGAGGTTGTTTGATCATTGGGAGATTGATAATGTAGGGGCTTGGGATTTTCTGTGGTACTATCTGGGATGGGAATTTGTACGATTTGTGTTGCTGTGGTCACATTGAAGGTGAAATTGAAAATGAACACAAAATAACATGATTATCATTTTGGAATTCTATATTTGTACCTATGATCATGTAAGGGGGAAGGGGGCCATTATTCTGAACATGCCACAGATAGTGTTACCCTCATATCCTCGCAAAACGAAAGTAGTTACACATTGGATCTGGGATAATAGAAATTGTTATCACCCCACTTACCCAGGTGATTTAGATAATTGAGTTAATTGTATGAGGAATTCTGCACAAGGGGCTCTATTTACCTAAGCCTTGCAGTTGTTTTTGAGTTTACTGATTTGAGGATATCTGCTGCCAAATTTCCGGCCCACCCCCAATAATAGAATATGGTCGTGCACATTATCATTGAGTTGGGGCCCACTTGCTCCCCCGCACTTTCAAACCAGGTTCTCAGGAAGCATCATCACCAGCCGCACGAGCCGATTGCCGATATGCTAGAGTGACACGGGAGAGAAGGATGGGAAAAAGAAATAGGGATGCTTTCCGTAGCGAGAAGGCCTTTTTTGAGGGTTACATCATTGCTGCATGGTTGTAAACTGTGGCTGATGGTTGGAGACAAGGTGGGTGCGGACTAGACGACCGCATGGAGGGGCACCCATGCTCACCTGAGGTTGTTGGTTGATTGAATGTGGCTGGAATCAAGTTTCTGAGACCTAGAGAGGTGGTTGGGTGTTGGGGTTCGTTGGAATTAGGCGAGATAAGGAGGGGGGTGTGTCGTTTTGATGTCACTGTTTTTCCAAAACTTCTGGCCGCTGGTCATGTTACACATGAAAGATTCCTGATAAGGCTTGTGGGATGCGGATGGTGGCGAAAGCTCGGCTTTTTCGATCGGACGATGGGGTTTCGATGCGGGAGATCGAGGATTGAGCTGTAGAAGTTTCGCTGGCTCCGATAACATACCTGCTGTGGAGGGCTAGATTTTTGATGCAGGTAGAGGCCTTTGTATTATTACTTTTGGTCATGTACTCATGCTTATCTTTGAGTTCCTGTTGCGATCGATATACCCCTCTCACTTTACAGAGACCTTTCTACACCCAAATATCATAATTCAAGACAGTTTTCATCCGCAAAGACTTTGATCATGATTGAAACACTATTGCTTTGCTTTATCCATGGTTTTAAGGGAGATGAAGAAACATTTTTTGAGTTTCCCCAGGTACGAATACTCCACAATCAATCTGGATTTCGTTTTACTTGGGAACTCTACTTAAGAAAAGGTCTAACAGCAATTCACGTTTAGGATCTGAAGACTGAGATATCAAATCAATCCCCAGATTTGAAAGTTCATACTGATGTCTATCCAAAGTACGAAACCCGAGGGGATCTGGCCTCATGTTCAGAAACGTTCCGAGAATGGCTCCAAGACCAAGTTACAGATCTAGAAACGAGTGCCGCGACACCTAGTGCGATTATGAATCCAAGTGTTGGTGTTGTACTGGTTGCGCATAGCATGGGGTGGGTGCTTTCCCCTACCATAAAGATGCAAAAAAATCTGATTGACATTGTCTCCAGAGGATTCGTAGCCACGGATGCTCTATTTAGCATCCTTTCCAATTGTCCAAAGATACAAGGAAAAGAATGTATGTTTCCACTTATCACAGGAATTCTGACATACGATACTCCTTATAATGGACTTGCACGGTCCATGTTCGCCTACGGTGCATTTTCACAATACCAAAATGTTTCTGCACTGTATAATATCTGGTCTTCCTTATCTGGTGGTCTTGGCTTAGCTTCTGCGTCCTCGGCAGCGAGCAGTATTGCGCGAGCTAAAGCGCAAAATGTCCCAGGAAACAAAGAAATGAAAAAAGCTGTAAGAACTGTGGGTGGAGTCCCAGCAAGTAGCTGGAGAAGATGGGGACTTTTGGCTGCAAGGACGGGAACTTTGGGCGCAGTCCTCGCGGGTGGTGTTACTGCTTATGTGTGAGTGTTCTCTCGCCTTCGGTTCACAATAACTTACATGACTGACTTTTGATAATGAAGTCACCGCGAAGCCATCGGAGAGAGTATTTCAAAAATCGACCTCAAAGGAATCGATTACGATCCTAGAAGTTACTTGAAGCGAGAAAACATTCCTAGCATGAGCCTTCCGCGAACCATGCCTAGTTTACCGAAGGGTATGAGCGCACCAAATCTAGGAACGCTAGGTGGGCTCTCTGGGGTTTCTAGAGAAAGTATTGGAGAAGGATTCGCTTGGATGGCCGGACATCTCAAATTTGTCGGAGCTTTAATGAAACAGACTCAAATGAACGCCAGACTTGAACATTTATCACAACTCCAAGGTATGGGTAGATGTAATATCTTTACATGCCTGAGCGAGAACGGAGTCTGGACCGGAGGATATTTTGTTCCGCGACGGCGATTTTGCGCTGTTCCAATTAAGTTCGATCCGGAATTGAATAAAGAAGGCGAAAAGAAAGATGAAGAAAGCAAGGGTTGGTGGGTAGAGAACGTGAATTCAAAGGCTGAAAATGAGATTGCTGGTCACTGTAGTATGTTTCAACGAGATCGAAATGATGGTTACGAAGCGCTGCTCGAGACTTCTGGAAAGAAGATCGTGGGCTGGGTCCTAGGTGTGGATTTGAGAGAAGTTATCGATATGTATGTACCGGATGAATTGAGAGCAGCAAAGAGTCATGAAGAAGGGCAGGTATGCAGTCATCTCCTTTGAGCCTCCTTTTGAATTGCTGTTCTCGGTGGTTGGAATATGTCTATTGACTTGCAAAGGAATGAAGCAGAAATAGACTTTCGCTAACCTGTTACAAGTGGGTAGATGACGATGGAAAGGTCAAGGAGATAGACACCGAAGGCAAAAAGTCGGTTGCTGACGCAGTAGGAGCAAAGAGGAAATCGAGTGTGGTGTTGGGTGTAGAGGAAACGAATAAAGAACAACAGCAAAAACTCGAACTTGTGGACGAACAAAGCCAGGAGCAGGAAGAGGATGAACAGCAACTGAAAGCTATAATTTCATGCCAAGGACTTCCACAACCGGAAGATGGTGGTATCAGTGAGGAGGTCCTACAACAAGCGATGGATATCCCTCTTCCTGGCGAGGAGGAAGAGGTTTTGAAAGCGGCGGCGAATGTGCCCTTGCCACTTGAGGGGGACGATGAAAAGGCACGTCCTGGTATTTTTCGTAGGATATTCTTGAAGAGTTAATAGGCCAAGTGGATGGTATTTTGGGAATTTATAACGGGTCGTGCCTAGATTCTTACCCTTAATCTAAGTAATATTATTGTTATTCCTTAATTCGAATAACTTACGTTAACTGATATAAGTTAAATATAATATATTAATTTTTAGCCTCTTTTCTTTAAATATATCCCTAGTTTAAGAAATATTCGACTACAAGTAATCTCCCTCACTAATGTAGATCAAACGTTAGCTTTGTACTAGCCCTCGTATAAAGGCTTTTAGTAGTAGGCTTTATCTACCCACGTGACCTACTCGCTTCCACCCCGGCCACGTGCCCGGCCCACCCATCTACAGCCTTTGTTTGCTTAGGGGCCAGCCACCAAGCCCTCGTAGCTCGCTACGCTCGAGAAGTACAGTAGTACTCGTATATAAGTATTGACTAGCATCTGCCTTCTAAGAGCCAGACAGACTAGGTATAGTTCCAGGGCTGAATACCGTCGCAAAATCGCGATATCATTGCGACCGTAGGAGTTTTGTTGGGGTGCAATTACGTATGCCAAGACCTGGTTGGTGCCTCGCTTCCGTCAGGCAGACACCCCACCAAAATCCACAGTCGCACTCGTACGTACCCACGCCACGGTACCTACGTAACGCCCACACTCTACTAGCTACCTACAGATGTTGTCAAAGCATAGCGAGAATACTGGAATATAGTTCGAATATTCAGATCATTTGTGTCTGAATCATGTACCTTTTATAGACGATTCCAGCCAGATGCGGGCGTGAGAGTGGTGGTCGTGGTTCACGAGGGTAAGAGAGGCGAGCATTGCTCTGTCCACGCTACCAAAAGTCATTATGTTAAAACTCTGGCACAAGTAACTTAATTGTCCTATTTCACCTAGCACAATAAGCATTGAAAAGTAACAATTGTTCTCAACTATTCGTATAATAATAGATTTAGTTGTGTGAGGTCTTTAGGATAATCATTTTGTAACTCTGGTGTGTCCAGAGTAAAGCCCGCCTCTCTTACCAGCTAATATCTCTTCTACTTACAGCAAAGTAGAGCCAAAACCCAAATCCAGATTGCGCCCATACTCAAACAATGAACCCCGAAACCATGTCTGATAGCGCATGGCAGAAGCTCTATCAATTAGAAAGGAAAGATTGGTTTGACAAATTCTCTATTATTTTATTATGGAAGAACAAAACCAGAGTGGCATATGGAAGGTTTCGATAGAACTACGAGTACGCGGCGATGAACTGCCAATTTTGAAGGACGGTAGAGGGGCGAACGAGATGGCAGCGAAGATTGAAGCATCTAGCTCCCTTCTCTTCGAGTTAGACTATAAGTATTTATCTGCTTGTATTAATTTTTGACTAATCACGTTTTCCATCTATTGGCCCACACTAACGCGCTCCTTACAATGACAATCCACGTATCGACGGAATACCCTCCCCCTAATTGTAAAAGCCCACTAGCAGAAGCGTATCGAGCTATCTCGGGCTCTATACGTGGGTTGTGAAGATTTCTCCATCTGCTGCATAGAATCTCCACAAACTCTTCCATTCTATGCCGTGTCGCCTTTCGTCCTTCTGTAGGAGTAAAGCCGCATTCAATGGCACCCAAATTAACACGGGTTATAAACCGCAGGACTATATCACATCCCTATCCGCCTTGAATGTTCGAGTTTAATACGTTTACTTAACTACCTTTTCGGACTACCCCTCCTATATTAACCGATATTTAAAGGCCTGTTACTAGCTTTGTTGTATTATAGTAGGTATGTCCTCGGTAAAGTACTGTCACGAATCACGTGTTAGAGGGCATGCCCCGCGTCATGTGATGAGTTAGTCCAGACGGCGTTCTGACAGGACAGGCACATCAGGATAGTTATAGCAAATAGGGATGCTTAGAGTAGCTAAGCGATCCAAGGATTTCACATGTAGAGGGTCACGTGATATATGCAGGGCGACAAAGTCGTTGTCGACTTTGTGACTTAAGGAGAACGAAGGTTCTATATAAGACTGGCACGTCTGCCATTAGATAGGAGCTTCGTGCTCAACTTAGTTATCAATCTTATCATATTAGTTTGACATCTTTGATACAAGTAACGAGTTCACTTCCAAGTGAACAACCCGATAGTCTTCTTCTTATCATAGCATACCAACCAGCGAACACCCAGCCAAGTTTAGTTAGCCAGTTTGAGTATTCGTTACACCTTTATAGAAGTAGTAAGATACTAAAGTATTAACTAGTATTTCTTATAAGTTAGTATTTTATAACTTAAGTTATACGATTTACTTAATTAGTAAGAATTTTCACTTTACTAAATAAACTAAGCGAATAACCTTTAGTTTAATATAACTACCCTAGTATACCAGTCTATCTTAGTATATAACAATTAAGGTAAGTTCTCTTAAGCGTATATTCGTAGTTAATAATTTAGATCCATAGAGTTTATAGTTCGTAACAAGAAGAAGCTTTCTTAACCTTGAAAACTTATTGTTACGACACGAGCACTCTTAGCTCTACTATCTAGCACTAGTATATTCCATGGAAGGCTCTAGTCCTATTCTGGAAGCTTCCATGCCGATAGACAGCTCTACATTAGAGCCCTGCTCGCCCCTTAGCTAGCTTCTATCCTTATTCCAGCTTATTTATTCTATATCGTGCCCTCGTCTTTTGGCACCCATAGAATAAAATAAAACAAAATGGAAGTTAAGTTACCTGTAAGTCACAGAGTATTAGTGGAGAGTGCGCTCTCTGGCGAGATTTCGCTAAAAAGAACGATCTAATAGTACAAGCGACTGAGCGCAGTAGGAAGACACACTGACTATCAAACCAGATTACCCTTTCAGGCTGATTCAGTTCATGGGGAATATTAACGGCATTTTATCGTCAGTGGGCGGACTTGGCCGAACTCAAGTACCGGTAGGTTAGTTTGTATGGAGTTAGTGCTACAGAAAAACCTCGATGCAAGGATACGTTCTGTGATACCTCGGTTATGTCCTTAAGGATACCGGCCCCCACCTTACCGTATATGGAAGGTCTTTTATTTATTTACTGCCCTAATCGGAAGAGAAAATCACGTAATAAAAACATCTTCGCACCACAGGATTGTGCCCGCGAATAAACACCGAAGCCATTTAGAGCTCTCCAAGTTTCAAGTATATATCGAAAACTGTAAAGCGTCTGATCCAGGGTGTTCGAACTCACGCTATTGTACTTCTACGGCTCCAATGGCCCCCGTCGATACGTCTCGCAGCTTCAGTAGCCTTTTGCCCTGCATACCCACCTTCACGCCCTGTTTCATCCCTGGCAGTGGTGGGTTCAGGAAACGACATGTCTAAATGCTTGTCACCAATGCTGCTTTATCTCCGTATAGGACTTAAAGCTGCGAGAGAGTACTAGAGGACTTGAAGTTATTCAGAACTCTAGGTGGGAGTACTTAATGACTCTAGAGAAATAGTTGTGCAAGCTAACTAGCCTAGTTACTCTCTGTCTTCCCTTGTAATCTTACGAAGTACGAGAGGGCATGCCCAGCGTTGCGATACAGAGGCTCTACTTTAGATAGGTGGCGATTTTTAGCGGAATTCCTCTTTCGTGCTTCTTATATCTGTGGTTTCCAAGTCCCCTCTACAGGAGCCATTCTATGAGGTTATTCGCCTCCTCGCAGAACAAAATCTCTGCTAGAAATTGCGACGCGCTCTTGTTGTGCCCACTCTACCCCGAAAAGCAGCAACTTGCGCCAAGAGGCTATTGGAGTCGGGTAAATCATGATCAATTCTCGCAGCTTGTTGACCGGAAAATAGCCATATAGCCCCTGTAGAAGCACTCTGTATTCCGTAAATAAACATCGGCAGTTCACCGGGTACGATACCAAGCTTTGAGAGCGAACCCTCGGTCCACTTTAAAGTGACCCAGGACCAATCGAAACTATTTCATGGCGGGAGACTCGACAGTGAGAGAGTTCGGTCGTACTTCGTACTTCGGATACTTCGACAGAAGAGTTTGTCCTACACTCTTTCATGACAGCGGATGATGTCGTGGCAGAGCTTAGCTAACGCAAGAGTTTGTCCTGAACTCTTTCATGACAGGGGGCGATACCGCGAGTAAGCTTAATCGGTCCAAGAGTTTGTCATAATAAAGTACTTCTACTTCGTACGAAGTCCGTACTTCGAAGTAGCATGGTATTGCAACACCTTGAAGGGCCTGTTTGTGGAGTATCTCCAGGGCCACGTGGGAAAATGCGAAACGTAGATGTCCCTTTGGTAGGAGCTCTTCGTGAAGCCAAGAAGCCAAAATCCCACGTTGTTCAGCCATACGGTAGTTTGGTAGTACACGACTCGCCGAAGAGGATGCTAAAGACCTTTCACAATTTATATTACTTGGCGTTGAGATGTGAATAAAATAGGGGACGGCCCCTATGAAGGACTTATTTCTTCACTTGCCGATACTTTCGTTTCTGTTGGGGTGTTTTTTTCTCACTTTCTTCTTTTTCGTTCAATTTCATTTTTTGTTAGGATGTCTTTCTCTTCGCGAACTTTTTTGGGGGGGTTTTTGGCGTCTGCATTAGCAACACCGGGTGTGGTTCACGTGAGATTCATGAAAGGCTGTGTAAAGAACGACACTAATATCTTGGTTTGTAGGAGCATTCGCCTTCGTCTGTACGTTCGCTTGCAGCTTACAATGTCACGCGCAATTCTTCTTTCGAGGTCTATAGCCACGAGTTCACATCGATTCTCGGAAACAGTCCCTCACTAAATTCCATTCTCACATCCGCAAACGCTTCATTCACCCAATTCCACGAAGCTGGTATTCTTTTTCAAGAAAAGCCAAACCCAGTTCTCTTCATCACCAGCAACCAATACGACGTCGAAGGATCCCCTACGACAAATAACAAAGCGGTAGCGATTTCAAAAGTGTCATATGATGGCAACGCGTGGAATGCTGAAATAGTCAAATCGACGGGGTATCCTGTATCCCTTGCAAATGGTGGCTGCAAATATAAAGAGGGCATCGTTCTCCTGGACCAAGGAACACTTACCACTCACGGCGGTTTAGTGTATATGAATGGAACAGCTCCATATGGCACATCTCTCTTAATCGACAACTTTTACGGGCATCCTTTCAACTCTCCAAACGATGTCGTTGCAGCAAGCGACGGTGCACTTTGGTTCACTGACCCATCATATGGCTCTTGGCAAGGGATTCGAGGAGATCCCAGGCTCCCTCCACAGGTGTACCGATTTATGCCAGGGACCAACAATATCCGAGTTGTGGCTGACGGGCTTGATCAACCTAATGGAATTGCTTTCTCTCCAGACGAGAAAACAGTCTATATTACCGATGCAACTGGGAACTCGACAGCTTTGACTTCTCCAAGAACAATTTACGCTTACGACGTAGTCAAAAAGGCTGGGCAACCATCTCTTATCAACAAGAGAGTGTTCGCGATGGCGGAGAAGGGACTACCTGATGGAATCAAGACCGATGCAGAGGGCAACGTATATGTGGGCTGTGGAGATGGGGTTAGCGTGTGGAATGCCGGAGGGATGATGTTGGGAAAGATTAAGGTTGAGGGTGGAAGCGCAAACCTGGTCCTGGGCGAAGGAAAGGTATGGTTATTAAATGAGCTCCAACTTTGGGAAGCTAGTGTTGCCACACCTGCCCCAAAGATAAACGATGTAAAGAAAGATGACTAAAAACAAAGAGAGTGTGAGGGTTGGAACCCATGATTGAGGCTCGGGCCATGCCCTCGCTAAGCACTGACCAAAGTCCTCGTTAAGTGTGACGGAGCTGGATTTCATTTGACAGGATTTCATTCGCTTGGCCAAGCACGTGACGAGACTTGGCATTGGAACAACTTAAATAACTTCGCTCCTTTCAGATTCTCTTCTCTCTTTAGTTTGATTTCTTCGTACCTACGGTTTTAGTTCTAGCAATTGATTCAAAAGCTGTATATACTTTATCCTTTGTTGGCATCCGTGACATTAAGCACTGACCAAAGTCCCTGCTTAGCACTGGCCATTACCCCACTGCCAAACAGGTTTCTACTTTTCCACACTTTCTTATTTCTTCGTACCTACGGTTTTAGTTCTAGCAATTGATTCAAAAGCTGTATATACTTTATCCTTTGTTGGCATCCGTGACATTAAGCACTGACCAAAGTCCCTGCTTAGCACTGGCCATTACCCCACTGCCAAACAGGTTTCTACTTTTCCACACTTTCTTATTTTATACTTCTGACATCATGTATTCGTCATTCAAGTTTCTTGCAAGTTTCTTGGAATATTCAGGAAGCTCTTCCTCTCTATATATAGAAGAGCTCGCATGTATGTAGTCTTCACGCACTTCTTAATTGAATATTCGAAACCACACCTTTGAACTATTCGAGGTCTGGCCTCTCACAGAGAAGGAGAGAGAAAAGACTTCAAGTAAATAACGAGATAAGTATAGCATATTTTCACCATCCTAAAATAACTTGCCAGACTCTAACCAGTCGCTATCTTGGCGGTATTCATTGGATGTCTTCTTTAAGCGAAGAATGGAATTAGCTAATGTGGTTCTGCTATTTCTTAACTAAACAATAGAACAACCTTTTAGATAAGCATGAAAATATGTCTATTGAAATCCACTCAAGTATCAAATGCAGATTTGCCTCCGTGAACGTTACGCGAAGCTCGTAGGAAGCATGATATATCCGCTGCTAAGCAAAGTATTATTATACCTTGTCGAGGTTAGACTACTAAAAACAATATAGTCAAGCTAAAGTGATTGGGTATTGTTAGGACATCTTCTGAGAGACCTTGGTATTACTATGTGTATACCTAGCTTATAACAACATAATTAAAATTATCCAAAAAGTCTCGCTTAACTAAAATAGCTACGAGTGATTTGGGATAATTCAAATTGCTGTCTCTCTATTAACTTAAGTAATCTAACATAATTGGGTGAATTTGTCCTAGGAAATCTAGTATAATTGTTTCTTACTATTAGCGTAAGTTGATTCTAAGTACTAAAATGTTTAAAATATCTAGAATAATTACCTCTATTGTGCTATCGTTTTCGATAAATCATTTTAATTATTCCAAGTAATTAACTAATATAATAGTTCTTAGTTAAGTTAGCATAAGATAAAAGAGTTCTCTGCCACTTTTCTTGTCCACTGGGAGAACGGGTGCTAATCCAAGGGTCTTTTCATATCATACGAGAAGTGTTTAAAACCCCCTATTTCTTGTGTCACAGATTCTTTCTTTGGCAGGGCCTTGTTATTGCACCAGGCGCCCCCATAGAAATAAGGCCCATGCAGAAGTTCCAAAGTTGAAACTCGGTGTCAGACTGTCAGATTGGTCGTGGCTGGTTGGGTTTTGAAAATGGTTTGCTAGACTGCCTATGACATATTACTTGCATTAAGTCTTTTCACTCGAAGGTTGAACCGACTGAGAGCTTGTCCTGGCTGAAAAGATTGCTTATATTTTGCTTTCCAGGGATTGATAAATAGCTGGCACAATTCCAAGAGGGGCTATTAATCTACTGTTTGTTTTGAGTTGCTCAACCCAATGTACTAGTAGCATACATGTTTATGAGCTATTAGCAATTGCATAGTTTACATCTGGCCTGGAATATTTACTTTCTCCTAGAAGCCTGAGATTCTGCCGCCCTAAAAATTCCCATTAGTTAGAGTTATAAGATATAGTATTTCGGACTATATGGAACCATATCTATAAAAGTAATACTATCTCATTAGTAAATGATATCTTATAATCTAATTTATATGGTAGGTAAAAGACCTTGTCTTTAGATTGTTATCTGTATTATAAGACATTTGAAATCTTGGTTTAAAACCACTTCATTTCCTTTAGCTAGGGTGGCACGTCCTTGAACCCCTTCGAAAACCCTCCGAATGGTGCTCCTGATAGAGTGATGGACATGTATCTTATGAAAGCGTCTCCTTCCAAACTTCGAACAATCATCTTATATTTCAGTCTATTCTTCCCTGACCCCCCTTAAACCACCAGTACCAAACGTTAACCCAAATCCACCAAATCCCAAAGTCTATGTTCGTAATTCGTCAAAGTCATTTTTTGCGTAAGAGTGATATGTTGAGTGCAGAGCAGTTTGTCGAAACGTTTTCTCAAAAACCACGAAGCCCTCTGTGATAAAATGTATTTTCAATCACATCTGTATCAATATCATCGCTCCTTGTTGCACTTCCCTTCTTGAATGCGTCTATAATCCTATTAGCCGACGGAAAGAATTATGAAAATAGGGCTCGTTTCATACCTTTCAAGCTGGATGAAGTTCTGTTCTCCCCGAACCAAGAACTGTACGTGCCCTCTATCCATTGTTTGGTGAAATCAAGATATCCCGATGAAGTAGACGTTTTCTCATCCAAGGATGGATCAAGAATAGAATTTGCATCCATATTGAAAGGGTTTCTTTGGCTGGGAGGTGCAGATTGCAGCAATATATGGAAGAATGGAACGAGATTATGAGATCTTGTTCTAATCTTGGCGGTCCGTACTCTGTCAAAAAAGCTGGCCACTTGTGAAAGAGGTGGTGAAGAACTCTCTGGGAGTAACTTCAGCTTATGAATGTTGAGATGAGCATTTCCGCATGACGCCAGGACGACATGAAATTCTGTTTTGGGTGATCAAACGACGATCTTCGTTGTAGAAATGCGGCTGGGTGGCGATCTGCGAGTTGCGACCAATGCTGTCAGAGAGTGCAAACGAACCACAAAACTACTTTCTTTTAGCACTTATTTTAGATCTTCTTGTATCTGGTGTAAGATGTACAGTAGCTCAATATTGGCTTTCAATGCTCAGGTTTATGTGCAAAATTGATGCTTTTCGAGATTAGAGAAAGCTTGGAGTATATTAATAAATCACATTATACAATCCCCTTTGTTCATCCGCAGCTCTCTCCTCGTCAGTTCAATTTCCATTATCCTTTTCGTCAGAGGTACTTTGTCGTCAAGACCATCGTCATCAACGTCGAAATACAAAGCCCATACTCCTTCCTCTTCTTCTACAACTATGAACCCTTCCCATCCGTCAAAAGTCAACCTCCGGTCAATTGGACTAACATTCCATGGCCCGACTATATGCCCTTCAGCTTCCTTCCGCAGACCGTACTTCACTTCGTATGTATCTTTGTCGACGTATATCCAGTTGAGTTGCGGGGGATCATCCTGGATCGTCGAAACATAACCTTCCCCTCTTCGTCCCCATTTACTATCTGGATAGGGAAAAAAGTATCCAGCAAATAAATGGCCATATCCTTTTATTCTATCTTCGTCATTCTCGTAGTCCTCGGGAAATTTACATTTTGGATTAACTGTGGTGACGAAGAGCTGACGAAGGCTAGTTAGTGACTGCGTGAATGAGAGTTGGGATTTGAAGCACTCACTTTATTGTCTCTCAACACCACTGTTCCCCCGTGTATATCACGAGCTTTTCGGGAAGGATCTTGACAAGATACGACAAGATTGGCTTTTCGACTTCTATGCTTCTCCCTCGCATTTTGCTTCTGACCGGATCGTACTGCTTCAGTGGTACCTATAATGGCAGGACACGCGGCGATAGAGGTAAGTATACCGAGAACCATTTTCGCCCTGATCGATAGTTTGCAAGGCTATATACGAGATGGCAAGAACGATGATGAATTTCTCAAGTTTGGAACAGGTATCGATTGTGTTTTAGGCGATGAAAAGATTAAAATCAAATATACGAAGCTACGGAGGGCTTGGGTTTGTGTACCCAAAGGAATATTAATGCAGTGTTGGAGATGGAAGCGATTAAAAACACTTTGCCCCAGGCGGATAGAAGGGCTGATATCAATACCGAAAATCTTACCAAACTGGCTACCGAACCTGTCTTTGGAAGGACTCAATATGTCGCTATGCCTAATATGGGATACGATACCTCGTGGTCTTCGAGTTCTAGATCGCGGGTGGGTCGCTGACGTTCGGGGTCCATTACCCCCTGGTTTTAGTGGCTGAAAAAGACAGCTCCCTCGAGGTAAGATGACGCAAATCCAACAGGGAATTTTCTAAATGAAACATCGAGCAAGCCATACAAACCATACAAACCATACAAACCATACATCGAGATACGATGCAAGATGCCTATGTGATGTCATTGTGGTAAAGTACCCCGGATTTTCAGTTTGCGAACTTGTTTTCGGTTATGTCCAAGTTGGCCTGGGTTGCATCAGAGTAAAGTGAAATCTTTCATAAGTACATTGAACTTTCCATTATCAAACAGCAAATCTATCACCATATCTCAACCACATTTTGCTCAAACAAAAGACATCTTCTCTTTTTCACCAACACCATCTGAAATATCATATCCAGACATTGTGGCAGTCCAGTCCCGACCTATATCGTCAAGATCTTCAACTTCTACAACTTTCACTAGAAAACCACGCAAGATGTCTGACGGGTAAGTTCCCATATCAAATGTTTGATTTCGCAACATACTAACTAGTTCGAAGAGAAAAGCAAAACAACACCATGGAGGCCGACTACGAGTACGAGTCTGAAGAAGAGCAAGAGCCAGAGCCCCAGAAGCAACCACAACAAGGCACACGGACGATGCAAAGAGCGCCACGTCAACAAGACCAACAAGTTCAACAACAACCACAGCAGCAGCAGCAAATGCAGCAGCAACCTCAGCAGAACCAACAAATGGTTCCTATGGACCAACGCGTATCAGGTAACATGGGCGGACGAACCGGTGCGATCAGAGAGTCGAGGATTAAGGATCGACCAGCGCCAAAGGAGGAGAGGGACAGCAGTTTGAAGATCAAGATTGAGTTGGATCTGGAAGTCGAGGTAGATCTCTACGCCCGTGTGAAGGGTGATGTTACTATTGGATTAATGTAGTAATATAATCTTGTGTAGGTCGATCTATACGCTCGAGTAAAGGGAGACGTCACCATCGGATTACTGTGAGAAGTGAGTGTGGTCCATTGTTGGAACAAGCCATAGTAATACGGGGTAGACGAAATTGATCGCCATGACATTGGAATGGCCCTCACAACTTTTTGGCTTCTGTACTTTAGCGATTTCGGAGTTTGCTTTGGGATGTTATGGGCGTGCTTTGGGATTGAAGTTTTATAATCATGCCTCGCTGTAGAACTGAAAAGTGGCAAGGCCGTATTGTTCTCGGTTTCCAAGGTCAAATCACTTATGTTCAGCCCAGAAAAATAAGAAAAGTAGAGCAACTACAATAAAATATAATCGAGCAATTTGAAACGACTGAACCATGTGTCTTAGATAACAAGTTAATCACCTCTCATGCTTTCTCCTTATGGAGGTATTAATATAGACAAATACGTACTGTCATTTTGTTTGCCTAGCTGTGCGACCACGACCAAAAATCCTGACGCTTTTCAGGATACGCCGCATAGCAGAGATGTCGGTGTCCTTCGTGTTGCGTATCACACGCATTGCTGACGGGTAAATAAATTGTTGGATAGCCACGACATGAGCGTATATCTGCAAGAAGACGAATCGTCACCGCTCGCGATTCGTATGCGGAGCAACATTTGGGGCGATGAACATGATGCTGTCGGCTCAGCACGTGGAAGGGTGCTGTAAGCGAGGCAAGCGATAAGATCCGCATAAGATCCAGGGGTTCGTCCTATCATGTAACGGGCACCAAAGCCCCCCACAGGGACTAATCCTGAATTACACGGCGCAAATTTATGATGTCATTTTGCGAAGAGTGTCTTCGGTCTCTGGGCTGACAATTCGGAAACTCATCAAAACTGACAAGTTTTCTCTCCATCCCATCCTCAGCAAAACTGGAGCGGCTTCCCCACAGAACACAAAGTTTACGTAGCATTGAGTCATACCAAAAACTCGGTACTCGGGGGCTTTCCATCTCCCAGAATCGCCCAGCGTTCGATTCATCGGAGAAGTGGAGGTCACAGTATCACCGCGTACCCATCGGAACAATTGTTCATGGATCCACCTTGTGCGACTTTCCCACCAGCTACAACAACCCGTTTTTGCTTTTCTTCTTTTAGGGTGAACCCGATGGCCCGCCCCGCGCGCGCGTACCCGTTGGTACTACTTTCTCCGGGAACACCGTAGTGGTGGTAGCAGACGTTACTGTATTCCCCACGAGTGTACGAGTATCGAAAAAGGTTGACAATCGCAAATACTCGATTACATAACTTCATCCAAGAACCCCGCCGGAAAGAAGGGAAAAGGTTTACTGACTTGCTTCTCTTGATCGTCATCTGTGTAAGAATGAGCTTACCCCGTGGCGATGATTTTCTAGAAATTATGGAGCCTCTGTAGAAGGTTAAATATAGTACCAAAAAACCGCAAAAACGTCATTCTTGTCGCGCCGCGGACACGTTCTCACGAGACGTGAGCTGGTTCTCACCGTCGCAGCTGGCTTTCTAGAAACCAATCACTAGCAGTAGGGTCTATATCTGCCATGTAGACTGGGAGTTGTTGGGGGAGCAGTTGGGAACGTATACTGTACTACAAGTTCAAGGGTAACTCTGAACAACGGAAGAACACAACAATATATATAACCGAGAAAACATACCATCTTAATCTTATTGATATATTAATGTGTCGCCCATACCAATAATAATGAACTCCAAGCTCCCGGGACCAGCTCGTGGTGTTCATACTAGTACATCATGACATCGTGACCATTAACCCTACGTCCTCCATCCCTTGGAATGAACCTCAGCATTCCTCCCTTAGTATCTTATAGAAACGTGACTGTAACATCCCCCTTGATTTTCGCTCGAAGAAATATCTCGAGCTCCAGATTCAAATCAAGTCGAATCGACATAGGCTTTTGCGCCTTGGGCTTCTCTTCCTCCTTGGGCTCCTTTTTCACCTCCTTCTCCTCCTCACTTTCTTCGTCGCTTGAATCCTGACTTTCCCAATTTTCCTCTTCTTCCCTTTTGCTCTTCCTCCCACACGTTTCGCATTTGACCTTGCGCTTTGCTTTATTTTTGGGTTTTGTCGTAGTTTTTGTTTTCGATTTAGACTTGGTCTGCTTTGTCTCTTCCAGATCGTTGTCGCCCTTTTGGAGCGAAACTCCAAAGGGTCTCCCACCAGAAGAATCTGCCCTTTTCAAGTTAAATGCTCTGATGCCAGTTTCGCGTCGCATATTCGTGGGTCGTCGTTTCAATTTCGGCAGCGTAATGTTCCCTCGCCCCTCTTGTCTTTCAAACTCTTCGTTCTCTTCGTCCTCAGGACCTTGTGAGTCTGGAAAATCTTGGGCAGCTTGTTGCTCCGTCTGCCTCTGTTTTCTCCCACCTCTTCGGTGCTTGCGTTGCTGCTTCGGTATGTCGGGAGTTGGTAGTTCTGGGACATCCGAGTAATCAGCTGCAGCATTCGAATAATATTCTCCTGCTGGTATGCTTGGGTCGGTTACGCTTGGGTCGGGAGTTGGCGGTGGTTGTATTTCGCGTATTTTTCTCTCGTCTTCCTTTTCGTCGAGTCCCTGGGCTTTGACTTCCAATTGTTTGGGCATCTGCTCCTCTAAAGTCGCAATCTCAAAATCTGGACTTGGGGTCGGGCTCGGACCCTTGAGCTGCACTCTGGTCGCCATTTCAGTGGTGCTGTTAATTTGTGGCATTTTTTTAAAGTGGTAATTGAGAAGTAGCAATAATGTCTTCAACTTTCACAATGCGCTTGTGCCTCCGCCAGCTCGACTCCAGAAGCTTCTCAAACACGGGTGTCAACATATCATATGATGGCTAAACACCAACCATAACGCAGGTCACATATAGTTCAAGATGCCCCTGCTCGCGACCACATCGGGCGAACTCCTTCTGGGCCGTGGCTGCAATGTGGCTCACCGATTGGCCATTCAGACGACGATTCTCGACCCATTCCCACATCAGCCAATGAAAACGTAACACCTGAAACTCGAACGTGCAGCATTAGATTAGAAAATGTGAACGGGACTTGCGCCCTCCCACCAACTTGAAAAATGAAGTTGTTTTCTTCCAAGTATTTCCAACTTACTTGAGTCGTGACAGAAAAGTGTGAATCTTGATACCGTAACATACTCCGTACTCGGCCATCGCTTTTAAGTTGGATCGCCTATAAGTCCGTCCACCCCATGCGTACCCGGCCTTTTCGAGTCTCTTTGAGCTCCATACAGAATCTTCAGATAACAATACCATCAGCGTGTTAGCCAAAAGAACAGACAGATGACCGTATTGTGCCAATAGAAAATAATTGGACTATACTTGGTCTGCTATACGTGTTGTCCCTGTGTACACGTTAGAAGAAATGCGATGTGAACGTGAGAGCTCAAATGAGATATGTAGGGAATGAGAAAAGAGGGGGGTTTCTGCCACATCCACTGTACTCGTGGCAGGTTGACATCACTTTACAAAAGTCCTTATATTAAGCCCGCATATACACCCCAAATTTATCTTCCAATCAATCTCACCATCTTACTCAAACCCCTCTCAGCCACAGAACAAGGGACGCCACGACTCTCTTCAAGCACAGAAATCAGGTTTCTATCCTCTGTGGCTTGCAGGTGCCTCGCTATCTTCACATCCCAACATCTCTCTGTGAACAGGCTTCCACCTAATTTGCCTGCTTCAAATTACATCCCCTGATTTCCATCATCGATCTTCATGCCCTTTACGCAATGCCATGCACCACAAACATGGTTCTTTCAGGCTCCAAAACACTTCTGCGCCTGCCACACACTTTCTTTTGGGGGTTGAGCGGGACATGATGGTGGGACATCGCGTATTGAGGAGAGAAAGTTGGAGATCACCTGGGATGATCTCACAATAAGGAAAGAAAATGACGTGAACGGTTCTAATACTTCCAAGTCCTGGAATCGAGGAGAATGCTACTTAAATATCGATATCTGAGTTAAATTTCCTTCCATCACAAACCAAACCACATTCAAAAGACTATCTCATCTACAAATCCTCAATTCCTCACTCACAAAATTCTCACTTCACAAACAATCCTTCTATAATCCAATCCTCAAAATGTCCGGACTTCTCGGAGGCGTTACCGACTCTGTCGACAAGACTCTCACTGGCGGCGATGAGCAAAAGGGACAGGGTGGACTTCTCGGAGGTGTTGGAAATGCTGTTGGACAAACCACTCAGGGTGCTGGGCAGGCTGTAGGGCAGACAACTCAGGGCGCTGGACAGGCGGTTGGACAAACGACACAGGGAGCTGGACAAGCTGTTGGGCAGACGACGCAGGGTGTTGGGAAGACCACTCAGGGTCTTACGGGGCAGTAAACTCATGACGGGAAAGAAAGTTACTTAACCATTATGAATGAAAGCCTATAATTGGCGAACATTTGAACCAACCAATTTTAATTCAATCGTGTAATGAATACCAATTACTGGTTCTAATGTGGACCTAACGTTGTACATGTTATCTTGGAAGCTATCTTTCTAAACCATGTGGTTGCTACTCTGTATACACCCTTTTCAGAACATTATATTATTCTAAACCCCTCGCACAACTAAAGTAATCATAAGAAGTTTGGAAGAATTGTTATCGCTCGCTTCCTTTTTATTAGCCTAGGTATAATAAAGGTCATTATTGTAATTTTGCTAGAAGTTCAGTATCATGATACTTAATTTACGCAGAGTAATGCTCAGGTATCTTACCGTTACCATCCATTTTCCTCTGCCTCTCCTCGCAGCCACTTAAGGGAACTTTATACTTGTCAACCCCCCTTCCCCCACAATAATGACTTTCACTATGTTCAGTAACTCGGAGCTCGTTATCGGTGGAACAGATGCTTATCTGATACCACTTCGTAAACACGAAAGTCTAGAGAATTTCCAGAAGATCTTGTCTTTAGATGCTACAAAACTACCCATTCGAAGTACCGATAGAAACCCTTCTTTATCCGCTTACCGGAGCTAATGCCATTGTATTATTTCCTTCATGGCGCCAAGTAGCTTTATGTGAAAAGATGACAAGCGTAGGTATTTTATAATGAAAGTTCTGTAACGATTTTTGCAATAGCTACACTATCTCCTCCTTGTACTGGTCATTCACTGGAAATTGATAAAATTCCATCTCGATGCATCTAGGTTTTGATCTTCTTCTATACCTCCACCGCAAGAGGCTGAGCACTAGCTGGATTCTGCCCCCATAGAAGCTTCTTGGTAGAACTCACAACCACATGTGAATCCCATGCCTTCCCGGGCCTTTCATAATGCCCACCACTAGTACTATTCAGATGAGTCTCAAGATGGAAAGGCATATCTTTCTGTCAGTCAACAGCAATTTCCTCATCGTTCCTGAAACCAGTAACTGGTTCTCCAGCGATCAAGTGCGAACCATCCGCGAGCTTAACTTTTCAACAACGTAGCAGCTCCGCGGCAAAGCGCAAGGATGAAGCGCTCAGCTTCGTAGAACTCTCTGATGAGGTTGATTGAATCGGCATCATTAACAAGGTCAAATATCGCTAAACAATACATGTAAGCAGTTGCTTTCGTCTCCACTTCCAATTAAAAAAAGGAGGTTTCTTACGTCCAAAGCCACCCACATAACAGATCCCAGTATATTACTCGGCTTTTCCTAAGAAGCTCGAGAGTTTCTCGGTTTCCATCCAAAGTCTCTCTTGAGTTCGAGCGAACACTTGACAGTATACATCGTCCTTGAAGAGTTGAACAGAGATGGGATTCAGTGTTGTGGCTCCCCCTTTGGGAGATGCGATGATGAGATCCGCATAGGGAGACAGAACCCCATAAGGATGGGCGAATTCTGGCTGTAAATTTTGTTAGGTGTTTGCATCGCTAAGGAGAACGAGTCAGTCGATGCTCGCAAGCTCGCATTACCGCCTGTCTCTACCTTATTAAGTGTTATTTAATAAAGATATTATTAAGTATCTTTTAATTTAGAACTTATTAACTTACGTATCTTTTAATTAAGGGCTTATTAAGTATCTTTTAATTAAGGTCTTATTAAGTATTATTTAATTAAGACTTTATTATATATTTTTTTATTAAGGTATTATAAAGTATCTTTTAATTAAAGTCTTATAACGTAAGTTTATAAATTTATAAGTAACTATTTATTAATAATAATAATAATATAATACTTAGATAGTATTTAAATAGTTAAATCGTTATTAGGCTTAAATTAATTAATTATAATAACCTACTTACTTTTAAGTTCTAATTTAATTTAATTTTAATAATAATTAAGTTTTATTAGATTAGTAATTAGTTCGTTTAGAATTTAAATACTTTTATTTATTATATTATTATACGTTACTCGATTCTATACTATTACTATTATATATACTAAGTTTTACATTATAAAGGGTTTAAAGTTATAAAACTAGGAATAAATATTATTACGGGAGACTAGCGTATATATAGAAGGTTTAATATAGTATTTAATAAGTTTAATAAAGGAGAGAGAAGGAATCTTGTCGGGCTCCGCTATAAAGGAGAAAAGGGGCCTAGAGGCCCTCTTAGTAAGGCTTAGTAAGTACTAGTATAGCTAGTATTCTACTCTAGGGGCTAATCCCTTATAAATATAAATTTATATTTTTAAATATATTTCTTTAATATTAAATAGACTTTTAAATAAATATGTATTATATATTTAGAGCTAACTTATATAAAGTCTAGAAGCTATATTAGTATTAAAGTATTTTTAAACTATTATTAAATAAATATAGTTTAATTAAATAATATTAAATTCTTTAATATCTAATATTTAAAGGTTGAAAGGTTAATATTATACATTAGTTAAATAGTATTCTACTAAGATATAGTACTAATTAACCTTTATTCTAAACCTTTATTCAACTTTAAATATAGAAGTAATAACTTATATTAATTATATTTAATAAAACTTTAATTAAGTTATATATAAAAGATTAATTAAACTTTTAATTAGTTATAAAGACTATATCTTATTACTATTCTCTTTTTTTATTCTTTTCTTATATAGGGGGCTTAGGAGGTAGAAGGGCTAGGTGTCACGAATCACGTTCTCACGTGATACTTGTCATAATAAAGAGGCGCAACCCTCGACAGGCACATCCAGGTTTCTTATAGCAAGTAGGGATGCTTAGACTAGCTAAGCGATCCAAGGATTTCTCGTGTATGTAGTCACGTAATCAATCGCATCGCCTGTATCGACAGTCGATGTTAGCGATAGGAGGTCGACTACATCGACAGGTGATGTAGGCGATGTAGAGAGAATGAAGGTTCTATATAAGACTGGCACGTCTGCCATTAGATAGGAGCTTCGTGCTAAACTTAGTTATCAATCTTATTATATTAGTTTGACATCTTTGATACAAGTAACGAGTTCACTTCCAAGTGAACAACCCGATAGTCTCCTTCTTATCATAGCATACCAACCAGCGAACACCCAGCCAAGTTTAGTTAGCCAGTTTGAGTATTCGTTACACTAGGTAATTAATATAAGCTATCTAGAGTCTTATATATTAATTAGCGTAGGTAAATAAGCTACCTAGTTATCTAACCCGGAGTTTTAACCCTTTATCTAGCTAAGTCGAAAAGTTAGTACCTTATATCGGTAAGGTAGTAAAAACCCTACTAAATCTATAGTCGTAACTATAAATTATTATTAAATAACTTACTACTTTTAAATATAATTATAAGTAAATAATAGAATAAAAAGGTAGGATTTTAATATAAGTACTAATATAACCTATTATAAAGTACTAAATAATTTAGATACGATTTACACTCGATATAGGCTATTCTTTTATATTACGCGTATCTACTAAAAGTCCGGATTACCTAACTAGTTTTTTTTCGAATCTATTCCGGGAACGCTAAAAGCTAATTAACCCGAACGCTAAGAGATAATTAACCTCTATCTTACTTAGAGGAAAGATAATATATATAAGACGAGTTAGTTAATACTTATAAGCTTATATTACCGCTTATCTCTATGTGACGACACGTACGCAAGGCCCACGGTGTAGGTTGTGGAATCGTAGAACTGTCAATTAAACAAAGATTCTAAGCTGAGGAGAAGAGGAGAGCTCGAGAGAGCTTCGATCTAAATACTTGGTGTGGGTCGCTAAGCGAGACCACGTGATCCGAATGGTGGTGACGGTTAGAACCGTCACATTAAGTTTGTTTAATTTATAGCTTAAGGTTAAGATACTTTATAATATTACTTAATATAAGTTATAGCTAATAGTACTTTTAGTACTTAAATTATTATAATTATTACTAGGGTTATTACTAGACTTAGACCTAGTAATACATCTTTTATAATACTTTAATAAAGACAATCTTTAAACTCTTAAACCTTAAATAAGTTAAGTTTTATTCCTAGATTATATAGCTTTCTTTTAATTATAGATTTTTAGAAGTTTCTAAGCTTTATTTATACTTAAGTAATTAGTAATAAAGTATTTTTTATTATAAAGAAAATAAGTCTTAGAGCTAGATCTATATTAACTTCTAGATAAGTTACTATTAATACTTTACTATTTATAGTAACCTAGAATAATATATTTAGTAATATAAGCGTCTTTTTTATTAGATACTACTTTATTTAGTACTACATAGAAGTTTATTCCTACTAAAGCTACTAAAGAAGGTTCTATTATTAGGGCTAGATATATTAAAAAGGAGAGGTTTTAATAGAATATATAGTAGATTATATAATAGATTATATAGTAGATTATTTAGTAGATTTAATAAAGGAATTAAGTAAGCTAAAGAATACTAAATTCCCGAGAATCACTAACTTTCTCATATTTAATAAATCCCGAACTTTTAGTTATAATATAAGCGGGTTTTTAGCTATATCTAAGGTAGTATTTATATTAATTTCTACTTATTTTATTACTATTTTTAGACCTATTTTAGATTTACTAAAACCTATAATACCTAGCCTTAGAAGTACACCCGCTCTCTTTTATCTAGTACTCTAGCGAGAATAAAAAGTACTAATTAGTTAGAATTAGAATAGAAAGAAAAGTACTTTAATTTATATAAATAGAAATAAAGAATTTATAAAATAAAAGGAATAGAAAGAGGTTTAGAGAGGAAATTCTAAATACTACTATAATATAAATAGCTACCTACCTAGCTAATAAAAAGCCATAATCTTCTTTAATAAAAGGCTAGTTAAAAAATAATACTTATATTAAGAAGTATTTTAAAGCTTTATTTTATTTCTTATTTAATTTATTTTTATACTTTATAAGAATTTATATAAAGTAAAAGAACTTATTATAATAAGATTCTTAAATAATATAAACTTATTTATTATA